TCTTTCCCTTGTTGGGCTTAATCAGTGTCGTCAGTGGCCGATCCTGTTCACTCGTCTGCTCAGGATTCGTCGAGAGCTTCTGTTTGTTCTGTTTCCTTGGTGTTCTGTGTAGCATCCTCTTCTTGTTGTTGCTGCTAACTTCAACTACATGGATCTGTCCTCAAAAGGGGGGGGAGCCATTTTGGAGAGGAAGCAAATTGGTGGGAGAAGAGTTCGCCCTTGCAAATATCAATGGATCATGTTTTGTTTTATGCCATTGACGATTGGGTTCCCCCTCTTCCAATGTATGCGGTCTTCATCTGGACTCTTTTTCTTGCTAGTGACAAGCCAGATCCATAGCGTAACAAATATCTTTCCAGTAGAAAGGAGAAACAGTGCACTATTAAGGAGGATATCCTCAGCTGGCTGGCCAGAAATGGTATTTGGGTAAAACAGGGTTAGGATTGACTGCAGTATTGCAGAAGTCGATAGGACTGACTCCCAGGTGCACATATTAAGGGTCTGGATGCAAGAGTTTCAGAGTGAAATAAATGGGTTTTAATTCAAAGCCTATTGGCAAATCCTTGAAGAGAGGATTTTAGGCACGTAATCCTGGAAACAAGGGCTGAGAAAAGGTGTGGAGAGGGGGCGTTATGGAAGTTAGTGGGATTTATGTCCAAGCAGATGTGATTAGGAAAAGGGTCACCTGAACCGGGAGGGGTGGTTTGCAGGGCGGAGACCTACCAATTCTGTCGTCCACAGAGTCACCACGTCACTTCTGGCAGAAACCGGAAGGGATGTCAACCCGTTGGGCTGAGACTCCAGCATTTGCCCAAACCGTGGACACATGAAACTGCCTGGTCCCTCGAGGTCAATGTTTTCTACTTGGCTTGGAGGTGGCTGTCCAGTTCCTCAGGCGAAGGTCTTTCACGTCACCTACCACGTGATCCTTGTCGCTGGAGATGTGGGGGATTGAACCTAGGACCTTCTGCATGCCAAGTTGATGCTCTTCCACTGAGCTACAGCTCCCCCCCCCTTACATATGACCAGTATATCTGGGAGATGTCATGGGTCTGTGTTAAAGTACAGAAGATCCCAGGTTCCGTCCTTGACATCTCCACTTAAAGGATCTCAGGTAAACAGGGATTGGGAAAGAGCTTTGTCTCCCCACAAAAGTAGACTACAATGGGCAGGTGGACCACTCATTCCCTATAAGGCAGAGGTCCCCAACCCTTTGGACCATGCAGGCACCTTTGAAATTCTGACGTGGGTTGGTGGGCATCGCCACAAAATGGTTATCGCAGGAGGGCCACAAAATGGCCGCCAGAGCTTAATTTCAGTCACACAGTGCAGATCCTCACGCTGTGCTGGCAGCTGTTGCCAAAGCAACGGTTTAAAAATTCCACACAGCCCAACAGTCCAATCAGAAGTCCAACAGTCCAATCAAAACTCCAACAGTCCAATCAGAAGTCTTGCTGGGCAAAAGCCCTACCTGGCCCCACCCACTTTGTAAAAGCACTTGGCGGGTACCAGGAAAGGTGCTGGCGGGCACCATGTTGGGGACTCTTTGTATAAGGCATCTTCATATAATTTCAAGACAGAGGGAGAACGGGTTGTCGAAGGCTTTCACGGCTGGAGTTCAATAGTTGCTGTAGATTTTTCGGGTTGTGTGGCCGTGGTCTTGG